TAGTGGTACCACAAAATAATCTCGTGGAACAATAGAGCTGGCATTCGAATATATATTATTATTAAAATGTTTACGTTTGTAATCTAATCCATATTAATATACATTACTTTTTTGTATTCTCATGTGCAATCGAGCTAATTTGGCTATTATTAGAAATTCATAGAATGTGTAGAGGTCAGTTGATATATTTGTGCGATTATATACAGGGATATCAAAATTGGATTAACTACACATGGTTTAGATTCTTAAAAATCATGCGTATTACTAATCTTTTTTTTTTATTGTGGAAAAATATTCGACTCGTTTCTTTTTCACCTATTTGGAATACCACCACGAGAATATTTCTTTTAAGATGGGTTGTTGCCATCACTATATACACGCAACTTTCTTTTTCACAAATTATTAAAAATAAATATTGATAAAAAATATTTTAAATTATTTTTTGATGCCTAAAAACAACTATCCACTTAAGTTTTCAGGTGAAGAATTTAACGGGAAAGAAAAAAAGTTGTATAGAAGTTCAGGAAAATATTTTGAAAACCGCGAAATCACAACATGGAGTATAGATAGTTTCTTGGATTATTTAGACAATAATAAAGGACGTTCACATAAGTTTCCTTTAATCGTCAAGAAAGAAATTTTTACGAGTTGGCTCGAAAATAAATTAGAAAGCGGAAACATAAGTAGCCAAGTATATTTAAATTTGTTAAGGGAAACGAAAAAGGTTAGGTTTATTATTTTATATTAACATACATTTCCTGTAATATGTAATGATGTAGATGGTATTGCACCCAACGATACATAGGATTTTTTGAGTTGCAATCTCATTTATAGATGGCATTTGGTTGCGATTCATGTTTAGATAGTATTCATTCACCGAGATCTCGTATTTTACGATGCGTAGAAATTACTACTACCTCACTCGTAGGGATCAATATGTGATATAATAATTTTGATAGTATATGCCACACTGTTATGAGCTCTAGCACGATGTGACATTAGCTGTCTTGCAAGACATACATTAGATATCTAATTATGTAGATGTTCTTGCGACATGGTTACTTATTTTGCTGAACAACGATAATCTAATTTAAAACAGCTTAGCATTTATTTATAGATTGATATTAAATACACATGTTTTAATGTTATTTTATAGAAAAAATCCGAAGGAACCCCTTCCAAATCACTTGTTAAAACCGGAAAGGCGTGCGATAACTATATTAATTTTGACGGTATTTACTGTATCTTTTTTGTTGTTGTAAAAGGTATCTTTTTTAATTATCACCAACGAATGGTTTTACGATTTGTTCATTTATAGATTACGCGGAGAAAAACATTACAAAAAAGATGGAAATTTCTTTGCGTATTGAAATAAACAAGGATATTTCGTTATATGACGAGCCCGGTTACATTTACATTTACAAAGGTTTGTGATTTTGAATTTTTTGACTTATTGGCAAATTTCATAAACACATTACTAATTGATATAATAATAGTATCAAATAAAGAAAAAAAAATGAACCATTTATATAAAATTGGAAGAACAAAAAGCGTGGATCGACGTTTGGAGCAGTGGGAAAAAAAATGCCATTACAAAGCAGAATTAATAAAAGCTTTACCCGATGACAAAAAATGTAAATATACTCATTGTACGGAAAGACTTATTCATTTAGAATTAGAAGTACATCGAGTTGATTTATCGTGTGAGTTTTGTAAACAAAATCATAATGAATGGTTTAAGTCAAACAAAAAGGTGGTGTGTTCAATAGTGGAGAAATGGGTGTTCTTCGTAGAGAAGGCTTACGGATTTGATTAATAATTAAATAATAATGTATATGGTTAATAATTAAAATAATAATGTATATATAATATGATTTTATTTTTTAGCAAATAATAATACATAAATAATAAAGCTAACAAATAAGTAGTGGCTTGATAATCGAAGTAAGAAGATATATTATTTGCATTGTACTAATTTAAAAGAGCCAGATAAAAACAGCAATGGAAGCATAAGTATTTACAAATCAGTTGATATTTGTATCTTGTAACGCGCACGTGATTATTTTATATCTATCCGCATATAATCAATTATATCGTACGACATTTTAATGGGTTGTGCAACAAAAATTATTCAAAAATTTCAATGCATGCATGATTTAACCAAATTCGATTAATTACCTTATGTAACAGGACCGGAATTTTTATACGTTCTTTATATCAGATGATATACCAACTTATGGAAGATTGGATTGTATTTTATAGCAATATTTCTAATATCATTGATTTGATTTGCAAGATTAGAGCGTATAGAATTTATAATGGTTTCGTCAACTATAATTTCCGTACGTACCGCTTTTTCGATATTTAATTTCCCTCTTTTTGTTGTTTCAATGTACTTTACTAAACTTTCCCATATTTTAGAGATTGGATCGTCATTTATAAAATATTCATAATTAACCAAATCACCTTGAAGAACTTCATATGTATTTCCTATCTTTTTAGATAACATTGCTCTTCCTTCTTTTATAGCCTCTTTATAGATACGTTTATATGCATACCCACGAGCAGTAATCATTTGAGGAGAAATTCCATTTATTATATTTATTTCCTTAATATATGTCTCGATCCATCTTTTGGCTTTGTTTTGAGCATAGGAATCAATCTGCGTATATTTTTCATCTGAGTCTGTAAGTCGCATAATTTTATCAGAGGGTAATGGTTCGTATCTTTTATCATACATGATAAATCAGGCACAAAGTCCAGTAATGGTCTTTTCGAAGTAGTGAGATAAATCGATTTCCTTACCCATTTCCTTAGCTATATCTACAAATTCCATTTGATCTGCTTTTCCCAGATTAAGCTTTTTTCCAGTTAAATCAAAAATTTTACCAGGTTGGGTAATCACATAACTAAAACGCTCACCTGGGTCTGGAATCTTATTTTCATATTTTTTTCTCATCCGTTTTATAAAATGTTGAACACGTTCTCATCTTTGTTCACATGCTTTCTATACATCTATTAATAATTTTAACACCGTGGAAGATCCTTCGAAATTATATAAAACTTACCCTTCTTCAGCCATTCTTCATGATCGGACATTAGTTCTTACCTGGGATATAGAAACATATACAACACGTGGATTAGAGCATGTACCTAAAGCGAAATATAAAGAAGATAGTATATTTATGATTTGTATGACTGTCCATTGGAAAGATGGTCCGAAACCACTGAAACAGATTTGTCTTGTTGATGTAGAAATTGCACCAGATCCAAACTGGATCACAATTGTTTGTGGAAATCAGACGAATTTACTAAAGGCATTTGCATTATGCTGGAGAGCATTAGCTCCTGATATCGAACTTACATATAATGGTTCCCAGTATGACTGGCCGTTTATAGTAGAAAAGGCTTCTCAATTACAGATTCTTGATTGGATGTTTACGCAAATGTCAGGAAACCCACGTCAAAATACTATTGATGGTATTCTTCGTTGGAATTATTATGGAGGGATAGGTAATCCTTCCGATAAAGATTTTTTCCATGATTTCTCTTCATGGACCAGAAATTTTGGAAAAACCAATGATACAGATAATAATAGCGGAGATAGCACGACTAAAAAAATCAAAAACCGAGAATGTGTCAAAATTAAAATTTCTCCAGAGAAAGAATTCAATTCCAGTTTCCTTAAGCTTCCTGGTTGTGTTCCAATTGACGTGATAGTATGTTATAAAAAACTCCATCCCAAATCCGAGAAAAATAAACTAGACTTTTACTTAGAATTCTACGGTCTTGATAGAAAAATAGATATGTCAACCAAAGATATAAGAATTTATTATGAGAAAAGCAAAAAATTTACGACAACTGAAACTATCAAAAATATACATAAGATTGCGGAGTATTGTATTGTCGACTCTCTATCTTGCCAAAAACTTATGATTAGGCGCAATGTAGTAAATGATTACAGAGAGGTAGCCTCAATTGCTTACATATCTTTATTTGATTCACATTACTATGCCGGAGGTATGAAGGTACGTAACCTCTTAGGTGCTGAAGCATGTAAAAGAGATATATTGGTTACTATGATTGCTTCTAAACAAACGGAATCTGGAAAATTTCCCGGAGCATATGTATTTCCTCCAGAGAAAGGTCTG